ATTCATAATATCGCTACCTATTCAAATCAAAACAAGTATTAGGTACTTCATGTACTAGTATATAAATTCATCAACACACAAGTAAATGATTTTTAAATATATTCAGAGCCAAAAAATCTTTGTGCATTTAAAAAAAATTGCCGATACGGATTCACTATTGCAGGAAATTGTTGAAAAAATATATATCGCGTATAGGTATCTACTACTATCGACGAATACATTTGGCAACAACGCGCAACATATGCGATGTTGCCGTTCCGGCCGAGACCATGCCGGAACGGCAACATCGCATATTAGAATACAAAGATAGTGATAGAAAGAGAGAGACAGTGGAATCAGCAATATCTACGGATCGTGGCTGGATCAACTAAGTGTGCAAGTTTATATAAATGTATATATATATATATACATTTGTCTTTAATTCAAAGGAAATATAAATAATGAACGCATCACATTTAAAACAGTATAAATAGTTAATAATTTAATAATAAGTTAATAGTTTAATAAGTACGTACGTAATATTATCACATGGTAACAGCACGTATTATGGCAAAAATAAACATCGGCTGATTTGAAAAGATTTATTATAGTAATAATAGTAATCTCAGGACAATTCACACAGCTTCATCTAGACCCAAGTTAAGCTAGCTGAAGATTATGTTATGGGTACTAGACAACTGATATAAATACAAAGATTTTTTTTCGTAAATACATATATATTATCTATACATAGAAAACACCCAGACCGTTACAAACAATCATACTTATGAATACAAATGTTTGCAGCGTGCGAGGAATCGAACCCTCGACCACCAAGCATAAAAAGAATTTCCGAATTTAGGTAATTTGGAATCAAAGCAGTGTGCTAGCTAAATCGCTAGACTACCGACAACTAGCTGTACCACGTGGAATTTAACTTCTTATATTTTAGAAAAATAAAGTTAAATTCCACACGGACGAAATTCCGTGTACAGCTAGTCATCAATAAAAAAACACGTAGGTATCTCTAATATATTATACAGTAGCTGTTCCCGCGACTTCGTCCACGTGGTTTTTAACTTTATTTTTCTAAAATAAAAGTAGCCTAAGTTACTAGGTAGTAGCCTTATTACATCAGCTACCTGCCAAAAAAAGTCCCGTCAAAATCGGTCCAGCCATTTCAGAGATTAGCCGGAACAAACAGACAGACGGACAAAAATTGTAAAATATGTTATTTTGGTGTATGTACCTACCGTATTTATATTCATATGCAAGTAGTAAAAAACGGTTATTTCAATATTACAAACAACAGGCTTCAACATTCTCAAGTACCACAAAAAAGATGTTTTTATTAAAAACAAGCTGTTCCCGCGACTTCGTCCGCGTGGAATTAAACTTTATTTTTCTAAAATAAAAGTAACCTAAGTTACTCCTTATAAATCAGCTACCTGCCAAAAAGAAGTACCGTCAAAATCGGTCCAGCCATTTCAGAGATTAGCCGGAACAAACAGACCGACAGACAGACAGACTAAAATTATAAAAATTGTTATTTTGGTATATGTACCTTATATATATTCATATGCATGTAGTAAAAAACGGTTATTTCAATATTACAAACAGACACTCCAATTTTATTTGTATGTATAGATGTATAGATTATTATTTATTTATTTATTTATTCATCCAAAATAATACAAATTGTGTAGGATAACGTAATAGTAACATTACAGTAAAATTTTGTCAACAACATAATAGCAACTTAAATATTAAATCTCGGTATATCTATAGACTAGCTGGCCCCAGCGACTTCGTCCGCGTGAAATTTTATTTTATTTTTCTAAAATAACAGTAGCGTAAGTTACTCCTTAAAAACTGACCTTACATCAGCTACTTGCCAAAAAAAGTCCCGTCAAAATCGGTCCAGCTATTTCAGAGATTAGCCGGAACAAACAGACAGACAGACAGACAAAACTTGTAAAATATGTTATTTTGGTGTATGTACCGGATTTATATTCATATGCAAGTAGTAAAAACGGTTATTTCAATATTACAAACAGACACTCCAATTTTATTTACATGTATAGATGTATAGATTAAAAAAAAAAGTAACAGTCATAAGGCTAGTCGTATGCCTAATATATATAATAATGTAATAAATTCATTTAAACAGAAATTGCGGGAATATTATTTAAATTTGTAACTTTTTTACTGTCCTTCTCCTTTTTTAACATCTTTCTGTTATATCCCTATAGTTCTCTCTATATTTTCTGTTTTTCTTACTTTCAATTTGAGACTGTACTTATAATTTGATTATCAGATCATTATGTATTTATTAGATATTAACTATTATATTATGCATAAAAAATATTTGTAATAAAAAAGAAAATACATTTAAAATGTTTTACTTGTTGTGTTAGTTATTTATAAGATCTTACTATAATTGTTAGCTGCTTTACAATTTAGAAAGTACAATAGGTAATGTAAATTAAAATTAATTGAATACTTAACAACGTTTTGTTCGATTAAATTCATTTAATTATTAAAATAGTTAATTTAAAATTAGAATAAAGACAAAAAAAAAAATAACAAAAAAAAATCGGTGGCGGGAATCGAACCTTGAGCGTCCGTTTGGTAAGTTGATTTAAAATTCAAAGGCTTATTTCTTCGAAATTACTGGTCATTTTGCAATAATACTTAGGGTTCGCATACCCTTATCGGATACTACTACTACACGGAGTTTCGTCAAAATAAAATATCTAGGTTAGGTATAATAAATTCATAATTAATAGACCGTTACGGTATCTGTATATATTCGGATCAAAACAAGTACTATGAAATAAGAACGAGTATATAAATTGATTAACACAAGTAATTGATTTTTGAAATATATTCAGAGCCAAAAAGTCTTGTTTCTTTATTTATGTACTTGTTAGATGCGACAGCGACTTTGTTTTATACTATACTATGTAATGATTGATATACCTAAAATAAATAAAATATCTGAGGTTTGGACAAAAACTCAAAGGGTAATTTATTTTGAAAAAGTATTTTGAAAATACCTATTTTGCTTTTACTGTTATAGTACTTTAACTGTTATGTTTTAAGTAACAATGTTTAATTATAATTAATACTACTGCACCAACACTCCGATCGTGCAAAAAAATTTGCTGTTTCATTATTTTTTAGTTCAATTAGTGGTCTACCTAAGTCCTGGGCTAAGGGGGGGAGAGTCATGACGCCCCCATGACTCCCATGACCTCCATGACGCTCCCCCCTGGATCCGCCGTTGCGTCTTCTCTTTATTCGCTCAGTAACTTTGTTACAAAAGAAAAGATTCCCGTCCAAAAAATAATAAGTATTGAGGTTTGATCTGGAGTCACGTTACTCCAGACTGATTTCTATAAATATTTAGATTAGATAGACTATTATTCTTGAAATACTAGCTAGACATTATTAAGTTACTGTAGCCATAATGTAGTAGCCCAAACGTGCCAATGAGGAAGCCCTTGGCAAATGCTGCACCCTGATTGGCCCGTTTGAATTGGATCAAGAACTGCTCGTATGCCAAAAAGGTGGATTTGTATAAAATCGTGTATAAATCGCTTAATTATTATTATTACTCGTCGTGACAGTTGTGGCTCAAAACGGATCAACATTTATATATGGTCAGCTGGCATTAGATCAACAAAAGGCCTCCGGATCAACAAGTGAAAATGGATCAACAAAAAACTACCTATACGGCACGTCTGAGCCACAAAGTGCCCAAGGGGATATTTATATATATATATATATATATATATATATATATGTGAAAGTGAGTTTTGTTTATCTGTTTATTTGTTATATTTATAGCAGCTACGATGGGGCCGCTATTATTTAAGTATATTGTGTTCTTTGGAGTAGCAGCATCAATTAGAGGGGGGTGAATAGACACCAGTGGTGACTATTTATATTAACGAAGTATTTAATAATAATAATAATCTCAGGACAATTCACACAGCGCCATCTAGACCCAAGTTAAGTTAGCTAAAGTTTGTGTTATGGGTACTAGACAACTGATACATATACATAGATTTTTTTTTCGTAAATACATACATATTATACATAGAATACACCCAGACCGATACAAACAATTATACTCATGAATACAAATGTTTGTGCCGTGCGAGGAATCGAACCCGCGAGTTCATGCGTCCCTTCCTCCTTCATTCTTTCCAAATATACGTGCACTAGGGGGGAAAGGAATTGTTAGTAATGTGGACTCATGACCCCATTACCATCAATGTCCCATGTCGTGTTGACCTCCACGCGGTTCCCCCTGTAAACCATCGTGATATATTCTCGGTGAATTTGTCACGATGGGCTAACTGACCTGACCTCGTGCTCATCTTATCATCCTCCACTGGTGCCCCGCCAGCGCAAACCGTTAGCGCAGGCGCGTGCACTATTCCATTATCTTCTACCAGAAATTTTACCAAAAAAACAGACTTCAGTGTCTACAACGCCATCTAGTTTCTGAGTGAGATAATAACCACAATATATGTTTAATTAATATGATTTACGCCTATAAACTTGAAGTAAATATATAAATAGTAAAGCTTAAAACTTATTAATTAATGTATGTTCTAGAAGTTTCATGTAATTACAGTCCTACGTACCATAAGTTTTTTTTCGGACTACTCTGCTATTGGCCGTAGCTGGCCTTTACAGCTTCACCGGACGTTAGGGGCGAGTGCAGATGGCACTCCAAACCCGCGGAAGGACTTATGGAGCGGCTGAAGGCCAACTCCTGCCTGACGGATACGACTTTAGTCTGAGGGCACCACTAGGGGTTCGAACCTCGGCTCAGGCCGTCGTAATTTCGATCCCCGTTTGAATTGGACGGGGGATCGATCGGAGGGGTACAGTTTAAAAATTGTCACGATATTGTGTGCACAATTCAGTTCGGAGTATGTATTATGTTTCTTGGTTTCAACGCTGTATGTGTTTATTTTTGGGAAATAAAAAGCCTCTGCAGTTATAATACCTTTTATTGTAACAAATTATTTGTGCCGTATCTTTTTTCTGTAAGATGTATCATCTTCTTTAGCGTCGTCATAATACCGTTTTTGTTCACCTTTAATTATTTCTTTATTTCTAGAATATTTATAGTCACTTTTATCATACTGTCTGCTGTCTCTCGATGAAGGTCTATCCTTGTAACTTTTGTAATATGATTCTTCTGGATCTTTTTTCCTTTCATTGTAATATTTATTATCTTCTCTATTTGTATACATTTTCTTGTATTTCTCGTCGATATGATGGTGTTTCTTTTCCCTGTCATTATCATATTTATTTCTATTATCTAAATTTCGTTTATCATATTTCTCTTTCTCCCGATGAATGTCTTTTTTATCTTTCCTTCTGTCTCTCCAATCTCTATTTCTGTCATGCGCTTTATTATCGTATCTATTTCTGTCACCTCCATCTTGATCTTCTTTGTATCTTTTTGGAGACGTATCATATCTGTTATCTCTCTTTTGTTTATGTCTGGAATAGATTTCAGATTTGTACTTGTCTAACTTGTTACCATTAATTTTGTGATTATCTTGTTTACTTTCCTCGGCATCAGCTTTGTGAGGGATATTTGGTTTTATTGCTGTTTCACTAACTTCTGTATATATCTCCATCTAGAAATTACAAAAGGCAATTATAGAACATTTTAGAAGTACATGGAAAGCAAAGAATTTGCCAGAACACAGAAATAGTAAAAAAAAAAGAAAAATGATTGAGTGTTGTTTTTTTAATGACCTCAATTTAATAATATAGTCTAGTGTATTTATCTGAAACTTAAGATTTAATATGTATTATAACAATTATGTGTAATCATTTGAAAAAAGCAAGAGTAGAATTTCTTGTCAGTTCGTCTCGGCTCGATCTAAATTCCAAACTGATGTAAGATTATATTATTAATATTGTAGTTGAAATGAGAAGGGTTCTTTTTCTAGAAAATCCCTTACACAAAGTAACAAAACGAAATAATATCAATGTTTACTTTTAACACAGCGACATATAGTATGCAGTTCGTGTACTTATTCTTAATACAAGTTCTACATAAACTAACAAACTTATACATTTATAATAGACTTACATCAATCAACATTGAGAGATCGAGAATGTTGTACGAGCTAACATCGTACATTATTTCGCGGCGTTGATATTTCATTATAATTTTTTTTATTTTACCAAAATCAGTTTGCTATTAGTAATCAAGAATGCCGCGGGTACAAATTTATTATTAACCAATATTAACCTGTTTAATTAACAGTTTTATCAGTATTTTTTATTCTTATTTATCTTATTATAGTTTCAGTTACCCCGAACAATGGTCCTTCGAGTCGGATAACCATGAAAATTAAACATCAGTTACAATTAGGTTAATTTAGTGTACGATCCCTCTCAATGTATTGACAACTTTGACGGCTTCTGTACTCTACCGATTTGACATACCGCCTTACTTCCAAATTTCATATTATGTATGTATTTACAAAAAAAATCTATCAGCTATCGATTACCTATTTTTTTAAGGATTTTCTGTTATTGTCAGTAGCACTGCGACCTATATCTATTGTGCTCGCCTTTTTTTTCAAAGAATAGAGTACCCATAACACAATGAATGGCTTGGGACTAGACATCGCTTAGCCGGTGATTGTTCAGGATTAGAATAATAGATTCTCGCTTCTTTGATACGCCAGCAATAAACTTAGTGATTTTGTTGGAACTCATTTAGTATATAAAAGTAATGACCTGTGTTTTAATAACATCCCGCAGCACGTCCGAGTAGTTCCGCGTCTTGGCGGCGACGCGGTACTTTGTACGGCGCCGCTTCATGTTCCGCAGCTCTGCCAACACTTCCAGCCTGGATTTGGTGCCGGCCGATTTTGAATCATCGCCGCTGGAACTGAAGATTTTTAGTTTAAATGTTGTAACAATTTATAACAAGTATATTTTTTATTATCAATATGTTTGTGATGTTTGCTGGAATTTTTGGTGCTCTTCAATGAAGTTTGTATTTTAAAGATTATAAAAATATATTTATTATGCGAATAACATTAAAATATTAAATTGTGAAATAATAGGTTACGTGACGTCGATTCTGATAAAAACTTATCAGTTGTCTAGTACCCATAACACAAGCTTTAGGTAGCTTAATTTGGGTCTAGATGGTACTGTGTGAATTATCTTGAGACTTGATATTTATTACAATGCTTACCTTGGCAGAGCCAAATCAGCAAGATCATGGCAAGATGGCACAGCCTTAACAACAGCGTCGTATACAGCGCGTCTCTCGTCTGCTGAGTACACGGTCTGCAGTCTACCCAGTGTCAACGGCTCCGTTCCATCACATCCTGTACCTTATTGTTGAGGAAACTTACTTTAACATTTTTTAAAGGATTATGATGGGATAATGCTTCTTGTTCTAACTTTATATTAGCAAAGCACCAGTGGAAATCAGATGTATTGTTAACTACTTAATAGATTTATTACGCCCAAACTATAACAATTAGTGAACACTAGGCTTCCAAACGAGTTCGGATATAGCATTCAATACCTGATGATGCTTTGTTCAGTGTAGACTCAATAGCGGTCAGGATTTATTCACCAATAGAGGTCATAATGCTTCCAGTAGTGATGATCAATTTTCTGCATGTTGTGATAAATTAAGAATTTATTATAATTCCTTATGAATTTGTTTTATCACGTTTTATCATAATTAATAATAAGCAGGATTGTGTAGAGGTTGATTTAACTTAGAAATTGCTTGCAATAAGACTAGTCCACACTAACTACCCTCCTCTTTAAAAGAAGTAGGGTATGTAATTTTTTTATAACTAGAATGGAAAATGGATCACTTAATGGTGACAAAGAGGGGACTACACTGCTGATTTTCTCTAAGTGTACCTCGGGGGGAAATGTACATACTATATCAAAAGGATACATTAGTAGAGTGCCAAATTAAGCAAAGTATCATTAGAACTGCAAAAATAAAAACATCATGTCAAGCCAAAAACATCAGTAGACATAAATATTATTATTATGAGAATATTATAAGTTTAATTACCTTTTCTGAATGATGGATCACTATTTGATGCAGCATTTATTATTTTCTGTATATCACATTTATCTGAAATTATGAATTTAAATTATGATTAGCTATATTTAGTCATTTATTCAACAATACTTAGATATAGTAACTTACTATTAGTTAGAATGATAAGTTTTGTACATAAATAAAAAAATGAATGAAATAAAATAATTCTAAAACTATAAAGAATCATAACATTCACTATTTATTAGGAATAATTTTTATCTTTATTAATAATGTAGTTAGATTATATGTGTATGCATGTATATATATATATATTAAATGACTGATGAATTTAATTAAAATATTGGAGTGTAATAATTAAAAATTAATTTAATATTACATACACCAAGAACCTGCTTTGTAGCTGATTGAAATGATATATAACACTGGAATTATATAGTATGGAAATGACATAATAATCCTCAGTAATTGTGATATATGCACCCATGTCTATGGTATCTCCATACCATAGACATTACATGAAGAATAAAAAAGGAATTCAGTTGCATTTCTCCTCAGTTCTTCTCTATTGAATCTGTATAATGAATTGGATGGTAGTTTTCCCCTACATTTTCATTCATAAGGTGCTGAAAAGGTCCTAGAATACATTATTTTCTCTTTGATTTCATCTGATATCTGCGGAGCTTGGTTGCCACTCTAGTTGTATTAAATATTAAAAAATATGCCATAACCCTTTCAGACCAGAATAATTTTTTTACATCGGATGGATTTGGTAAATGCCATGCATCTAAAGTATAATGAGAAAGAAAATTGCCATTAATTTTTTAAAACAAATTAGTAGTACTAAATTGAATATTTATAAGTGAAAAAATGACTACTATAGTTTTCAATTAGAAATTATAAAATCATTTTAAATTATATTTTATGTCTACGATTGGCACACCAGTTTTGAATGGGTTATTGAAGAGGCTAAGATATAAGTGACCATACTCAATGTAACAAGAGTGTTTGCATTAACGTCAGGAGGATCTGGTAGTAGCACATCTTCTTTAGAGTAGCCGAGATGCTTAAGCAGACACTGCTTCTCATGTTCGACCTTTGTATGGGTGGGTATTCTGTGGTTGATGTCATATTTACATGACTCCATACAGCCATTCTAAAATAGTGATAGTTAACAGTTAGAGGGTAGTATTACTGTATCAATATAAAGAGAGAGATTCTACTATCTGAAATGTAACTCTAAAATACACAGTATTTTTTTTCTGAAATGAATACATAATTTTGTATAATACATTTTTATTTTTAAATATAAAGGTATCTGCATAATAACAGTTGCACCTCATCACAGCATATACTGAACCTATGACACAACACCTTAGTGTTCCAAATTGTCTTTAATAATGTATTTTTATATATTGTAAGTGTTATAAAATAAACATATTTTCTTTCTTCTTTCATAATTAAAAAAAATATTCGAAGTTGTACATTCTTCTATAGTGGCATAGGCTTCTTCTATAGGCTATATCTATATTATGTATACAGGGTTAGCTGCAAAGATTCTGACGGTAAAAATTTGATTATTCATAAGGTCTCACAAATTTTGAAGTTTCCAAACGTTTTATATGTTATCAAAAACTCTGTTATAAATAAACTCCGAACGGAGCCGAGGTGACCACAAATACAAATTATTAATTTTTTCTGCAGACTAATTTACCTGAGTTAGACCCTTCCTGTCCCATTGGAGACTTTGCAGGATCATCGTCACTTCAGCTTCTACGTCTTGTACGTACAATTTCAAATCCATTAACTGTTTTTGTCTAATCTCCATTTTACAAATAGGTACCCGTGAATATAATGTACACCGATAAATTATCAAACAGCATTTAGTTATAGATAGTAATCTGTGAATTTAAATTTATATAATGATTATACATTTAGATTTTATAAACAAATACATTCTGTGACAAACTATAAAAGAATTTTGACGTAACCACAGATTGAGAGAGCACAGATAGAGAAACAGTCTACCACAGATACGGAACAACATTCGCTTTAGATTTAATTTTTTTCCAAACCTAATTAGAATAATGCCGCTCTATAACAGATGTGACTGTCAATATGACAGCTGACGTTTCTATAAGTATGTATAGATATCTATAATACATTTGCATACGAATGTCAGTTCATTCACTTTACTCTGTATTTGAACATTGTGGGACGTGTGCTTTCGCAAAAAGATTTTTAATGTCTTGAAAATGGCAGATTCCGAGGTAAATGTTAGCTTTTAGTTTTTGAATGTACAGTGAAATTATGAATAGAGTATTTACTTATTTATATCTGGGCAGGTTTTAAAAAGGTTGAAGGATATACCATTCAAAATCCAGACCGCAAGTTTGAAGGGAAGACGTGACGTGCTCGAGGATATTCAGGATGTTCTCTCTACTCCAGGTATATTGATTATTGCTTATATATTCGTAGCTACATTGCATATTGTATATAGCAGTCTAGGCATCTAGATGGCGACACAGTGCACTAGGTCTGCCTGGGTCGTGTTGACCTAACTTAGCTGTATTGATCCGGCACTCCAGATATTATTGCCCGGAGGTGCATGTCGGTCAAACAAATATAGCTCGTATGATGAATGTTCCGAATAATTAATATTGCAAGGGACCAATTCACTTACTATTATTACTTAACATGAAACAAAGAGTTTTTTATTTTCAATAAGTGATGCACTTCATTTTTTCTTTAAGTTAAACTGAATGCACATGTTTATTATACTTTTTTAAATATTAAACTGTTTGATTTTAGAATCCAACACAATACTTTTTTTTTAATGTTGATTATTTTATTAATATTACAGATATTGTGCAATTGATAACAAATATTGAGAAGTAGCAATTCATGTATTAAATATTATAACCTTATTATATGAATGAATGAAACAAGTTTTTATATAATATAGTTAGTGTATAACAAGGCTGGCTGGCTGGCTGCAGTTTCTTTTGTTGGTCTTTGTTCCAGTTTTGTTATTCACATTCAACTGCGTATAAAAATGAATATAATACAGGAGTTGAAGAATTTATTACGAAATAAATATTTTTTTTCTAGTTTCTAATTTTTTTTTCTTCTTTTTGTATTATACATATTTAGATGACCCTATACATCTAAAAGATAATGATGTACATATAGAGTTCTGGAGATCAGTATGTTGTCAGTTTTTAAATATTCTAAAATGTTGAAGCTTAACAATGCACCATAGTACATGAAGAACGAAGAAGTGTATGCAAGTGATTATTATCTGTTAATCTACTGCTTATGAAGAAATAACAGTTTTCTGAGGCAAATAAACAAGCTTCATCACCATCATCATTTCAGCCCGGAATACGTCAAAACAAAAGCTTAAATGAAATAAATACCGCATACGGAAATTGACTATGACTGTAAATCTACATTATTATTTGAATATTTTAATCTACATAGACTTTATAGGAAGTGGGCACTTCTGTCTCTCCTTTTCACTTATTTCGCCATAAATGCAGTTCTTTGTAAACTGTATTTTAATTCATGATATATCATATGGCAGATTACAGGATGTAGGACTATTACACCATCGAAAGGTCTGGAATGGCATTGTATGAGGATGAGGGGGCTGGGCTGGTTACCTCGGGTGTCCCTTGACAAACTAATGTCGCCAGAGCTATTCAGCTATTGGCTTCTTTGATACTCTGGTTACATTTAGAAAAAGAAAACTGGTGTAATTAAACTAGAAAGGCATGACAATGCCTTGCAATGCTAATATGTATGTAGTAATACTGTGTTGTTTTATTCTATTAATGTAATATAGATTTATAATTCTCTGATTTTTAATTAATTTAATTAAGACATAAAAATAAATGGTATCATGGGGATATATATTATATAAAAAAATTAGGTAACAATGTTTTGTATGTAACTATTATATAAAAAAAGCAGTGATTCCCAAAGTCACAAGACCATCTATAACAAACTGCAAGGGGTCTATATAATCATCTTGTTTTTTAAAACACTAAACTTAATCAGTTAGAATATTCTACAAAAAATCAATACCAAGTATTCTTCACAAAACATAAAAATATACTACAACACAAAAATGTATGATCTAAAGAATAAAAGATGAAAACAATCACATAGTGTGGTCTTTCCTCGCCTAGATCCTACTGGAAATTCTATAAAATATTTTCTTTTTAAACATCATCACTAATTAGTTATCATCACTTATAAGAGTACAAGAATAAAAAAGAGACTGATGGACTGTGTGAAAGATGATATGGGAAGAAGTGAATAAATAACGAGATGACTGTGAACAGGAATGAATGGAAGAGAAAAGCATACACACGAGAGAAACATCCCAAATTAATGGGAAACACACTGACCTCAAATTAATAGGATAAGGAAGAAGCAGATGATGATAATTATTTGTTATTGATATAGGTATCACAGAGCCGGCAGTACGGTTTGTGTGCCGGGTGCTGGGCTCTACCCTGCACCGGTACCGTGACGCCACCTCGCAGTCGTACGTGAAGGATCTGCTCGCGTACCTGGCCACCAACCATAGGGAATGGACGCTGCGCAGCTTTCTACCAGTGCTCCTTGATATATCTGAGCAATTGAAAAATATATCAACATCGTAAGTACTGAGTTATTATCGATCTGTCTATCATTCATTATCACACTATCTCTACCCGCGACTTCGCACGCGTGGAATTTAACTTTATTTTTCTAAAATAAAAGATTTTGTCTAAAATGTAAGTAGCCTAAGTTACCCCTTATTACATTAGTTACCTGCCAATAAAAGTACCGTCACAAACGGTCCAGCCATTTCAGAGATTAGCTGAAACAAACAGACAGACAATAATGTATGTACGGTAATTATATTCATATGCACGTAGTAAAAAACGGTTACTTCAATATTACAAACAGACACTCCAATTTTATTTATATGTATAAATAATAAAAATATTTGTAGAAGAAATTTGATACCACGCGAACGAAGTCACGGGCATAGCTAGTGTGTAATAAAAATATAGATGACCTCAGTGGTCCAGCAGTTTAGCATACTTCCAATGGTCGAGGGTTCGATTCCTCATACGATGTAAACAATTCATGATTATTTGTAAAAAATAGAACCATGACAAGTTCAGAAAGCATATTGTTTACTGCACTTGCACCTTAATGCGCATATTTATCTATTGTCATTCTATGAACATAATCAATACATAACAGCTTGTATCAATCTGGCTGTTTTTATGTATGATATGTATGTAGTTACAAAAAAAAGAGAATATGTATTTGTATCAGTTGTCTAGTAACCATAACACAAATGTAAAGTCTGCAGAAGACTAGATAATTTATTTTTTTAGTGTAAGTTAGATTTTATTATTTGGGTGTTACTCAGGGCAGAATCTAGGCCCCATAAATAATGTTATGCCTTATTTTTAAAACATACTATTTTTGTATACTTTCAGTAAAAGCATATCTCAGAGTGGTCTGTATGCGCTGCGATGGTCAACAGTGCTGGTGAATAATTCCCTCACTGCCAAGGAGGAGGATGATGTCGACTACAAGTCACTGGTTCTATCACAGGCCAACCTGCTGGCAGTGGTCACCGCATACGGCAATAAGAGGAAAAATGACAAGGCATACTCTATGGTATGAAATTTATTAGCAGAGAATCAGTGTTAGACACATAAAAATCTACTTATCATACACACAATACCTAACTAAAATACGGATATAAAGTTCTCTCACAATGTTTTAACAAAACTCCCAAACAACGTGACTGATTGTTATTGAATTTTTTTTATAATTAGTAGATCAAATCAAATCATATTTATTTGACATAAACATAGGTTTATATTAGTTGTTATTGTAATATCTGAGAACAGGATGAAACTATGTTTTATACGCTTAAGGTTATCACATCACAACTTTTTTTTTATTTTTGATCAATATTTTTGTTGTACTTAATGTAATTATGATTCTGCATTAAAAATATACTTTATTTTAACATTTTAATTTATGTATTAACAATACATAAATTGAAATCACAACGCTATTATCAAAAAATTTGATATTTTTAAAATATTAAAAGAAGGTATTTTCATTATTACTCGGTATCGTTAAACTAGTTGCGTATAACCCCCACTCATATCTTCTCTGTATAAAAGGGAGGGCTTTTGTCCCTCCGATCGATCCCCCATCCACCCCTCTGATCGATCCCACGTCCAATTCAACGGGGATCGATGTTACGACGGCCTGAGCCGAGGTTCGAACCCCTAGTGGTGCCCTCAGACTAAAGTCGTATCCGTCAGGCGGAAGTTGGCCTACAGCCGCTCCATAAGTCCTTCCGCGGGTTTGGAGTGCCATCTGCCCATATCGTCCGGTGAAGCTGTAAAGGCCAGCTGCGGCCAACAGCATTAGAGTTGTCCAAAAAAAAAGCCACGGCATTCGGTCTTTGAACTCAGGTGCTGGTTGTATTTTAAATGCTAAAGTTAATTGTGTTAGAGACATAGTTAAATTAATGCTATATAGTTGTTATTTTATTATAATACTTTTACTAGTACATAGAGTTGACATATCTGACAGTATATAGCAAAATAGTTTTTGCCGACTCCGCGAGTTTTTAATAAAAGCACATACAAATAAAAATATATAACATATGTTTGTAGCTACACACCTCGTGGTGCGCCATCGGCAGTAAGTTGGGCAAGTGGCTCGAGGTGCTGGTGGCGCAGGCAGCCGACTCAGGGCCACACGTGTGTGTTGCGTTCTCCGCTCTCTGCAGGCACTATAAACAAGTTGGAGATGAACAAACTATCTCGCAGCACAAGGTAATTAAAGCTTTTATGATTTATATACTATAAATAATGCTCATGTGACATCCCTGGTGTTTCAGACGTATATATGTTACAGTGACCGATTACCATATACCCAAGGGCGGATCCAGTTTGGCCCCAGGTCACATAGTCGTGGTCAAGTGTCTTATAATTTAATTTTGATAACAATAGATACAAGTAAAAAGTAGGTATTTTATTAATGTACGTAAGTACAAAAAATATTTATATTTTAAAAATATTTATTATTTATTGTACGCTTAAAAAACTTAACACATAATAACTTGTACATATACACATACATATTACCATCTTCTCTTGAAGACATCCAGAGAAGAACTATTTATATATAATTAATTAAATATTGAAGGTATGTAGTTAAAATAAATCTGTATGGTGACAAAATATATAAATAAAATCATTATATTTAATTAGTGGTCCTAAGTCCTGGGCTCAGGGGGTCATGACCCCCATAACCCCCCCTGGATCCGCTGTTGCATATACCATACAGGCCGTATGGTTGTTTGACACCATTGTTGTATATAAAATTTTAGTGCCAAATAACCATGTGATCCATTTAATGGAAAATAGTCAATATTCCCTATAGACGCAGGAAACACAAAGACTTGCCGAACAATAAAAAACTTAATATATCCTTTTTGAAAACTCTATAATAAACTAAACTAATCCTAAATAATTGTTCTGCATACACAATGGTTGATAAATAGGCCATCATGTCTGCAGAATAATTGTTTAGGTTCCCAAAATATAATGTAATATTTTAATTATAAAATAAATATGTTTATAATTTTGCTTTCCAGTAAGAAATAAATATGTATAATAAGATCGATATACGACACACATTAATTTTGACTTTGAATAATTTAAACAGGCAAAAATGTTGGAGAGCTTCATAAAGAGCCTGATCAGCGTGAAGTGTCGCCCCAACTCCAATTACATCAAAGGCTGCTGGGACTTGCTGCACATGTTGGACTGCAATGAAGTGCACGAGAAGCTGCTGCCCGCGCTGCACAAGGCCATGCTCAGGAGCCCGGAGACCATCATACAGGCTGTCGGAGAGGTCATAGCCAATCTGGACGTCGATCTGGACGGTATCGCTGTGGATATTGGAAAGAGCTTGATTGGTGAGCACAATATTTGATTTACAATAATTCTATATAAGAGTTTGATTGTAGAGGCATGGTTATTATGTAACTGAAATGGCAAACAAGCAAAGGATTAAAAGTAGCAACCGTCACCTTTATCCGGTACGAAGGACCAAAGAATGTAGATGTTTAAGGCCACAGTTTCGTGATAATGATGGTGATTAATTGATTAATTGATAAGGGTTTTTGGTAAATAAAACCGCCTTGGTTGAATGCTACTGGAACACTGATTTTATTGCTAAAAGAAATTTAATGAGGTGAAATGCATTATAAGATGAAATTGTATGTATTGCACAGTAAGCAGGTGTGCGTTTGCCCGTACATACATCCCATACACGCACTCATCTCCTCTCCGATGAGGAGATGATCTTTTAACGATATTTCCACACGATAAAAAAGTGTATTGAAGAGAAATGTCGTCTTGCAGGGAACCTGCACTCGCGGGAGCCATGGGTGCGGTCGGAGGCGGCGGCTGCGCTGGAGCGGCTGGCGGTACGGTGTGCAGCGGCGTCAGCAGCTCGCGCACTGCTCGACCACGCCTTCGCTGAGTACCACGGCGCAGGCGGCAACCTTACCTCCAGCGAGGACAAGGCCGCGCTCCTCAACGTTAGTATGCCGCCACGCCTTATTCTTTATTACAATATTGAAAATGAGAACAATTGACGAGTTTAATGTCGTATGGTATTCTCTACCAGTGCAGTGAGGGTAAAGTTTATAAACTTAATTTTAATATTTAATTACCTTTCAGTGTGGTAATATCGCAAGCAAATTAGCAAGTTTGAGACCACAAATATCCAATGCCGAAACCTGACTATCGCTCCTGGAAACTTTATTGATGATCAAATTTCAAATGTTACCTTTTACCTCTGAACGAGATCTCATTAGGCTTTGAATAATGTACGTATTTGTTTATTATTGAATATATTTTTTTCTCTGGAGATATTGTAACGCGCGCGCACGTTTTCTTTTATAAACTCTGTTTTATTGCGATCCTATCACGAAGGAAATAATAGATATCGTACTGTTTCGGCATCGGCGGTGCAGGGCGTGGGCGTGCTGAGCTCGGTGCGCGTGCCGGCGGAGGAGCGCGCGCAGCTGGCGAGCGTGGCCAGCACGCAGCTGGCGCGCGTGCTCGCGCACGAGTCGCACGACCGCACGCTGTGCGCCGCGCTGCGCCCGCTGCGGCTGTGGACGCGCGCGCACGCCCCGCGCACGCTGCCGCCGCACCTCGCCGACCTGCTCCAGGTACCGACCTCCGCCGTACGAGTCGCACGAGTCGCACGACCGCACGCTGTGCGCCGCGCTGCGCCCGCTGCGGCTGTGGACGCGCGCGCACGCCCCGCGCACGCTGCCGCCGCACCTCGCCGACCTGCTCCAGGTACCGACCTCCGCCGTACGAGTCGCACGAGTCGCACGACCGCACGCTGTGCGCCGCGCTGCGCCCGCTGCGGCTGTGGACGCGCGCGCACGCCCCGCGCACGCTGCCGCCGCACCTCGCCGACCTGCTCCAGGTACCGACCTCCGCCGTACGAGTCGCACGAGTCGCACGACCGCACGCTGTGCGCCGCGCTGCGCCCGCTGCGGCTGTGGACGCGCGCGCACGCCCCGCGCACGCTGCCGCCGCACCTCGCCGACCTGCTCCAGGTACCGACCTCCGCCGTACGAGTCGCACGAGTCGCACGACCGCACGCTGTGCGCCGCGCGCCCGCTGCGGCTGTGGACGCGCGCGCACGCCCCGCGCACGCTGCCGCCGCACCTCGCCGACCTGCTCCAGGTACCGACCTCCGCCGTACGAGTCGCACGAGTCGCACGACCGCACGCTGTGCGCCGCGCTGCGCCCGCTGCGGCTGTGGACGCGCGCGCACGCCCCGCGCACGCTGCCGCCGCACCTCGCCGACCTGCTCCAGGTACCGACCTCCGCCGTACGAGTCGCACGAGTCGCACGACCGCACGTCACGGTCACAACCTGACCTGACCGCAACCTGTGCGCCGCACTGCGCCGCTGCGGCCGTAAAAATGTCTCTACAATTATAAATCAGCACTTGTAACTATGTTGCCAGCATTAAGCGGATTTATGGTTCGTATAGCCGCTGCGGAGTTTAGGTCCACATTGATTATAATTTGTGGTTCATATTGTCTCTATTTCCGCTGCGGAAATTGTTTTGCCATCATTATGCGGAATTCAGGTCCACATTGACGATGTTGTAATGTGTGTAAATTGTTGTTTGTTTTGTTATGTCCTTATTGTTGTCCACCAGTGAATAAAAATAAAAATAAATTCTAATCTATTCTAATTCTTTTCATCCATAACAACATTTTTATTTTAACTATAAGATATATAATAGTAATATGGGTATTCCAGAAAAATCTATCTGCCAAGAACACGCCGCAAGTGGTACGCACTGCGTACGCGTCGCTGCTGGCGCACGTGGTGCGGGACGTGGGCGGGGGCGGGGGCGGGGGCGGGGACGCGGGCGCGGGCGCCCTGAAGCCGCTGCTGCTCGCCGCGCTCGACAAGGCCGCCCACCAGCCACTGCAGGTACACACATTGCCGCACGATGAGCGCGGGTTCGATTTCTTGTTTCTCCAGTCAATTCGTGATTACAGTGGTGGTAATTACACCCAGTGATCGAAATTCGACTATAATTTAATATTTAGTAAAACTATAGCCAAATAATATTATAGACAAACTATACTATAGATTAGTATTTTACCACAGACCTTAATAATAAACAAAAGTATATGTTTTTTTATTTATTTAAAGTATTTTCTATGATTTAAAAAATATATTAGCATTGTGAACTTATCTATATAAACTGTAAGTGTGCTAAATTGCATACTCTTCCATACCCACATTTTTATTAAAAAGTAGTACAAAGTTTTTGTTTCACGATTAATATATATTACTAATATTATAAACGGCTGGCCAATATAACTTGTACATCTAAATGACGTATAGGCTATAAATTTTGAGCGCGTGAAGCCGCTGGCACAGCTAGTAGATAAATGTATACTCGGTGCAGCACCTGGTGGTGAGCGAGGGCATCAGCGCCCTGGCGTCGCTGGTGCTGGTGGACCGGGCGTCGTCCAGCGAGCTGGTGGCGCGGCCCGCGCTGCTGCCCGCCCTGCTGCACGACCGCGTGCTGGCCGCCGCCTGCGACGATGGTATGCCTCCACACCTACCACCACTTGCACGCTCTCCTACCTATGTCTGCTGACTCCTACTTGTAACCCTACTGATATATTCCTGACCTTTGTGTTCCTACATTCAGAAAGATTAAGATGGAACAGGTCTTACTCATAGTGGGGGGTCATACAACCATACTGCTATATTCCTGAGGGATTTATAGTAATGAAGAATAATGATCCCATAGGTAACAATATATAGCCATAACAAGTTGAGCTTCATCCTACCACTAATATCTGGTGACTACTACTTCAACCATACTTCTAAATTCCTGACCTTTGTGTTCCTACATTCAGAAAGATTAAGATGGAACAGGTCTTACTCATAGTGGAGTGTGGGGATTGATAGTAATGAAGAATAATGATCCCATAGGTAACAATATAACCTATCAAGTTGAGCTTCATCCTACCATTAATATCTGGTGACTTAGAAGTCATACAACCATACTGCTATATTCCTGAGCTCCTTGTGTCTACATTAAGATAGAACAGGTATTTCCCATAGTGGGAAGGGATTGATAGTAATGAAAAATAAAGATTCCATATATAGCAATATACCCTAACAAGTTGAGCTTCATCCTACCACTAATGTCTGGTGACTTCTAATTACAACCATACTTCTAAATTCCTAACTTCTCTATTTCTACATTGAATTCGTTAAGATGGAGATAGAACATCTCTTACACACAGTTGGTGGAGGGGATTGATTAAATGATTTTCTATTCTATTCTATTCTATACAACTAGGTATACTGCTATATTCCTAACCTTCTTTTTTCTACATGAAGACTGATGGAGAGACAGTGCATACCCACAAATCGGGGAGGGTATTGATAATAATCCCTTAGCTAATAACATAACCTTTTTTAACTAAGGGGTTATCAGTCCCCATTACTATGATCCCCACCACCAGTGGGTAAGCGTTTCATTAAGTACTATTCCACTATATGCTCTCTAGAAACAATTGTAGTTAATTCCTGATCAATTCACCATGATGATCTAACCGAGTTGATTTCAAGCGGATCGTAATATCCTCCACTGGGGCTACATCGAAAATCGATTGTACAGATGGGTGCCCCTTTCCTTAAACCACTGGAGTTCCACTAGCAAATACCTTTAGGGATGACGAATCCACTTTTCCTTGAACATACTTTTATACCTTTTTGTAAAAGATTTCCTCCCTTCCAGCTTCCCCGATTCCTTTGATATTTCTTTCCAATTTCACATGTATATTTTAACTGCTTTCAAAGCTATTCATATTTATAGATACATTAAATATTCACTATTTTTCCAATTGCAATACTAACATTTATCCTTATTATGCATTATTAAGTAATTATGTGCCAAATATATTAATTTTTATATTGTATATTGTGACATGCCCAATATGTAAAGTTTTTTATGATTACTATGATTGATCACAAGTAATCTGCACAAATGCAAAATAATTTACTATCAAAGATTTGTACTATGTATGCTTTCTGCCATTCATGAAAATAATTATCAATTTATCAATTTAAAATTCATTTAGCCTGGCCTCACACTACCGATTTTTTGTCAGGATTTTCGTGCAATAGTATAATTGCATTTTTATAACATCAATTGCATTATATGCTATTTTATTACCTTAGTAGTATATATTCATGGATTATGTATTTTTAATCGACAGCTTTTTATTCTATAGATTAATTAATATATTCTAGCATTTATTCAACATGTTTAATACAATTGTTTGTTTCACACACTGCCGTGCCGCTGTGACTAGAGTAGTAACCATTTTATTATTAATAAATGTTTTCTCTTATGTTACATGTATGCTTCGCTTTATATCATTGCCATAAAATGTATATTTTATGTTGCTCTGAACTGCCATAGTAGCACTATAACATTTACCCCTTTATAGTCCTAATACAGGTGGTGTTGCTATGCAGAACAGTGTTGGAAGACTACCCAAGTGTTGCCAGTGAACAGAACTCGCCCATATACAGAGCGTTCACTCTAGTCATGCTGTCACCGGTCAAGCCGGTGCGGACCACCGCCATAGAGGAAGTTAAATCATTACTAGCTAAAGAAGATAGAGCCTTATTGGCGAGGTATTTAGTGCTTAAGTTGAATGAAGTGCTGGAGGAGGGAAAGATCTTCAGCAATAAGGAGAAGTCGCCGCCTGAAGAGAAAGGCAGCGACGTTACAGGGAAGATGATATTGGACTGTGTTCAAGCACTGTGTTCATTTAGAGGTATGTTTTTTTTTTTACTTTTTATACAGTGCTAACAATATGAAACGCTGGTTCACTATTTAAACAGCTTTGGAAGTAGAATCAATTAAGAATGTGGTCGGAACCCAGACAAACTGACAACTCTGCTCGTTTAAGTAGCTACCTACAAAACTTTTTAAATATAAATAATGTAGACAATAAAACATGTTTTTTAAATATTCTTGGAACTTAATTTCTTTTTAAATTAAAATACAGATATGAGTTTCAATGTTTACTCCCAATCAATTAATATTTTTTGGTGAATTGTATTATAATTTATTTTCAACTAATTTAATGTATCTGACATTGTTGTTGTAGATATATACTGAACTAGCAGCATTATATATATATACTAGACAAAAAAATGTCTTAATATAAATTTTAAAATGCGGTAAATTTGTTTCCAGATTACCCAGTAGTAGACGCACAAAGTCTAGCAATAGACGCGTTACCGAGCTGCCACCACCCGCTGGTGGTGGCCATCGACCGCCGCGCGTGGGTCAAACTCGTCTGCAACTTGCAGCTCGAACCTAAGAAGCTGGTGGGACAGTACGCTAACAACTTGAAGAATACGTACATCGTCGGGTATACGCCAAATGAGGTTAGCTGGCAATACTATATATATACTTGTACATATACAAACTAGCTTTGACCGTTTACGCAGCGCAGGTAACGGAAGTCGATGTGAATAATTTCCGCTGATGCTTCGCTTCTATTGGTCGTAGCGTAATGTTATATAGCTTAAAGCATTCCTCGACAAATACACTATCTAACGCAAAAAGATTTTTTCAATTCGGACCAGTAGTTAATGAGATTGGCGCGTTCAAACAGACATACTCTTCAGCTTTATAATGTTAGTTATAAATGATTTACCCTGGCCACGCATTTCCGATAAGAGAAGGATGGCCGACTCGTGCCATCGACGCCCTTGGCCCATTGGTTGCTACACCCCACCCTAAAAATAACCCTACACAATTCACTCTACCCTTGTACCCTTGGGAGTTTTAGATTTTGTTCTGTAAATTTCAAATTATGCATTATAAAACTAAATTTTACCTATTAAAATGTGACCAGCTGTGCCCGTGGGGAGAAACTTGATAAACCCCATGCTCGCAATAGTTCATACTACAATCTAAATGTACGTGGGAGGAAGCTTCTCTGAAACCGCACTGTCTGAGAAATAGAAATAGAAATAATCTTTATTCAAATAAACTCATTACAAGCACTTTTGAATAGTCATATTTTGATTCTACCACTCATTCGGAATGCAGATTCATCACAAAAAGAATGAGCAAGAAACTTGTGTGTTGCACTTTTTAATAGATTTTTTTTTTTTAATATAAATAATTACAGTATAACAAGTAAGAGGCATGCGATAATCAACATAGAAGTCGCTACGCACTCATTATTAGTGTAATCAGATAATATTGTCAGTGCTATAGATTTAAAGTTTTTCTATAAAAACATTATTATTGTTAACGAATTCTTCAATTTTATAGTAAGCATTTTTGCAAAGGAACTGTTTTATTTGACATTTAAATCTTTTTTCTGGCAGATTTATAACAGACTCTGGTATTTTATTGTAAAATCTTACGCAATTGCCATAAAACGAATTACTAACTTTAGCCAAACGACATTTAGGTAAAATCAGTTTGTTATTGTTACGTAAGCTTTTATTAGTGCAATCACTAACTCTTTTGAAACTGTCTATATTCCTTCTGGCATAGATGATATTTTCATAAATGTAAGACCCCAAAAGCCTCCAGCGTGTGGGGATGAATTCCCTGTCAACTGCGAGCGGTGCAATGGTAAAAGGTCAACTCAACTGAAGCGGACCAGAGACTACTCTTGTCCGCTCAGACATTCTGAGTAGTCTCTGGTCCGCTTCAGTGGTGATCCAACTACAAAGTTCCTACTCTTCGCCTGCAGACGCTGTCGAACGTGGTGTCGACGCTGGCGGGTATCAACACGGAGGTAATCGCGAGCAGCGCTATACAGGGTGCTCTCAACACGTTCCAGGACCGCGCGCTGCTGCGGGTCACGCGCGACGAGTACTTCACCTACCTCACGCCAGAGGGCGAGCTCTACGACAAGAGCTCCGTGCCCGGGTACCTATCAAATTTAAACTCAAATTCAAAAATCGTTTATTCATGTAGGACATTTTAGCCGTTTATGAACGTCAAATTTTTCCCTATCGTCCTATTCAGATGTAGATCCAATAGAGAAAAACTTGAACGTGCAAGAAACTCAATGGATTTTTTTTATAAGCTAGTTTATTTACAATGTATATTTATATAGGTGTCTATGTTTAACATTAAATGAAAATCCCGTGTATTAACAACTATTGCCATGCACGCTCGTCATTCACGTACTCGTTTAGTGAGTAATAGGCTTTGCACAGTAAATATGATTTGACAGATGTTCTGAATTTATTTAAATCTGCACTTCTTCTCTATATATTACAGATATTATACAGATTTGAATCTGTTATATGAAATTATTTTAGATTATAATTAAACAGAAACTGAAAATATAGCGCGTTGTAGAATTTGTGCACCGCCATCTAACGTAGAGAAGGTGAATTAATCCGACAATTTCTCTATACGTCGACTCACCTGGCTAATTTACGTGTAAATATTAGCCCTCACCGGACGCTATACACACTATGTAGGGACCTGGACATCCCACACGAGTCAAAGTGTTAAAATGACGTGTTGTAACAGTAACGAGGACAACAAGGAGATGAACATGAAACGCGAGAGCAAGGCGTACAGCTACAAGGACCAGCTCGAGGAACTGCAGCTGCGCCGTGAGCTGGAAGAGAAGCGGCGCAAGCAGGGCAAAGTTAAAGAGGTCAGTCAAAGTCATTACTGCGGACGCTTTTGTCAACACTAGCCTTCCAAGCTATATCCGAACTCTATGCAATACCTGACGATGCCTCGTTCAGAGGCAAAACACGTGTCGCAATATGCATGTAGACTCAAAAACGGTCGGAGTTTGATTACCATTAGAGAAAGTAAAGTTTCCGCACCGAATATTTGTTATGTCACACGTGGTGATTGTAGCGGAATTAAACAAAATAATATAAATACATTAAATAGTAATTGAGTGTAGTTCTAGAAATCTAGTAATCACTCCTTTGCACTAGTGCTTTAACAATATTTTGTTTTTAAATAATTGTTACAGGTGCCACTCACGGCCAAACAGAAGGAAGCGATAAAGGCGCAGCTCGCAAAGGAGAGCGCCATCCGACAGAGGCTCAGTGTGGTAAGTAACAGTAGGGATAATGGTAAAACATACGTATCTATTTTGTACACTAACCTTTTGCCTTTTGTCTCAAATTTTGTTATGAAATTATAATGAAGTTGATGTTACCACGTTGTTTAGGAATAATTAATTACGTACTTGAACTTAATAAATATTGTTTGTGCAAGAATTATAAAAGTCGCTGGCGGAATATAAAAACTATTTAATATAAAATAATTTACTATTTGGTAATGTATATTCGGACCGATATTCTGTGGCGTAACTACAGGATGGCAAATCGGCAAAATGCCATAGTCCCCTAGCCGGAAGGGCCCTCGATTTGAGTTGAATTTTATTATACATTTAGTAAAAAAAAGTATTGTCTTTAATCATTTTCAATTATCTACTTATTTGCATATACAAGTAAAAAAATGTATTTAAAATTCAATGGATTTGTTATAAATAAAACCTGTGGTGTAGCTGATAAATTGCTACGGGTCTCGAACGGTATAGTTACGCCACTGTAGATGTTGGATACATTTTAAAGAAATTAACTGAGTACATGGTATAATAAATGTGCGATCTCCATATAGGTGTTTTGTACTTATCCCATCTTCTTGCATCACTTAGGTCCTATTTGATTTATGCTGTAATTGCTCAGTGTAACTATGTCGCAATATACTCTATGATTCTATTATAACACTAGTATATATTTGTGAAGTATGTATTGTATTTTATATGATAATATTGAGCGTTCTGTTTTTATAGATATAAAATAAATAACTGTCTTGGTTACTATTTGTAGCGAAAGTTTAATTCTGCAGAATACGTATAGAAGGATACTGTGCATTCCATAGTGTGTCCCATAGTTTTCTTTACGATTTAAATACGATTACGTTGCAACTCAACTATGCCATGCTCATGTTTAAGCCAGTAACAGAAATAATTTTAAGCACGTAGTTACCTATAATGCGATATGTGAGATTGGTTTAATTGTGGTACAAACCTTTGCAACAAAAGCATGTACGTTGCGTTCTGCACTTGCGTAAACTACAGTAATGAGTATTGCACCCCTTTATGACACCCTAAAGATATTTTGTACAGCGCAAATATATGTATAAAATATTGTAAAGTGTCGAAATACAAAATTCGGTGGAATCACTAGCTAATAAATTATCTTAGGCTCGATAGTCGGGTGACATTGAAAGTAGAGATAGTAAGCTCGGCGTTTCCGGCAGCTGGAGGCGCGCGTGTCGGCGGCGACCGGACTGGTGGCGGCCACGCAGCGCGGCGCCGTCGGTGCGGTGCGCACGGCGGCGCGGCGCCTGGTGAGCGGCGTGCTGGCGGCGCTGCGGTCGCCGCTGGCCGCGCCGCAGCTGGCGCCGCTGTACTGCGCGCTGCGGCCCGCGCTGCTGCCGCTGCCCGCACACCGCCCGCTCGCGGCGCTGCTCGCCGCGGTCACTCTCAGGTACGCACGTGGCGCGGCGCCTGGTGAGCGGCGTGCTGGCGGCGCTGCGGTCGCCGCTGGCCGCGCCGCAGCTGGCGCCGCTGTACTGCGCGCTGCGGCCCGCGCTGCTGCCGCTGCCCGCACACCGCCCGCTCGCGGCGCTGCTCGCCGCGGTCACTCTCAGGTACGCACGTGGCGCGGCGCCTGGTGAGCGGCGTGCTGGCGGCGCTGCGGTCGCCGCTGGCCGCGCCGCAGCTGGCGCCGCTGTACTGCGCGCTGCGGCCCGCGCTGCTGCCGCTGCCCGCACACCGCCCGCTCGCGGCGCTGCTCGCCGCGGTCACTCTCAGGTACGCACGTGGCGCGGCGCCTGGTGAGCGGCGTGCTGGCGGCGCTGCGGTCGCCGCTGGCCGCGCCGCAGCTGGCGCCGCTGTACTGCGCGCTGCGGCCCGCGCTGCTGCCGCTGCCCGCACACCGCCCGCTCGCGGCGCTGCTCGCCGCGGTCACTCTCAGGTACGCACGGGGCGCGGCGCCTGGTGAGCGGCGTGCTGGCGGCGCTGCGGTCGCCGCTGGCCGCGCCGCAGCTGGCGCCGCTGTACTGCGCGCTGCGGCCCGCGCTGCTGCCGCTGCCCGCACACCGCCCGCTCGCGGCGCTGCTCGCCGCGGTCACTCTCAGGTACGCACGTGGCGCGGCGCCTGGTGAGCGGCGTGCTGGCGGCGCTGCGGTCGCCGCTGGCCGCGCCGCAGCTGGCGCCGCTGTACTGCGCGCTGCGGCCCGCGCTGCTGCCGCTGCCCGCACACCGCCCGCTCGCGGCGCTGCTCGCCGCGGTCACTCTCAGGTACGCACGTGGCGCGGCGCCTGGTGAGCGGCGTGCTGGCGGCGCTGCGGTCGCCGCTGGACACGTCTTGAAAAGCTTGAAAACTTTGCATGACATTAAAATAAAAATATCCGATTAAGCAAATCGGTATCGCAAGTACAGCACTACTCCGCTATAGATGGTAACATTATTTGAAAAACCTATTAATTTAGTATCCAGGATTAAAAAACAGACTATAAGTATTTTATATCAGTTGTCTAGTACCCATAACACAAGCTCTACTTACCGTGGGACTATGGCGCTGTGTTAATTGTCCAAGGATATGATTAATATACACGATTCTAGAAATTAATTTTCATTATTCAGACTGCACAAGCCGCAATGCGACCTGGACCCGAGCTGGGAAGAGGAGCCCCTTGAGAAGGCTACCATCCGGACCATCAACCTGCTGCATGCCGCCACCGAGATCAAGGATATAGTAGATGATGCCGGTGTACCGGTCCAGAACGACAACCACTTCACAGCACCGGGGTTCTGTTACGTGTTCCCATTACTCAAAGAAGGTATAATGTTCTCTCTATAGAAATATAAATAAAATCTATTTTATTGTCACTTTAGTAAATTGAAACTTACCACCGCGCGGTCATAATGCTGTATGAGCAAATTACATAACCATATATTACTAGCTGTGCCTGCAATTTCACTCGCGTTAAATTTCAATATAAAATATATAAGCTATATTACTGTACAGTTTTATCAAAATCTGTTACGTAGTTTTTGCGTATAATACTAACAAACATACAAACTTTCGCGTTTATAATATTATATATTAAGATAGTATTGTTTTCCGTACACGTGTCTACAATAAATAAAGTCTGAACACACGAGCAATCATAAAAGTGATCTGAAGAAATAAAAGCAATCTGTTGGGATAATTCGCTCGCACTTAGCCCCGTTAAATCGGTCTTGCTCGTGAAAAAACGTGTAAACACGGGTAACATAGCAATGTTTATTCTTAAGGTCTAACTGCTTCGGCTACACGTAAAGACGAGTCGACCATGGTGAATGGACTGACGGTTATTACGAGGCACGTGATGCTGCGCTCGGATGACGAGATGCTGCAGCCAGAACTGTTCCCCATCGACCACATGTTTAGGTTGCTCATCGACCTTATCAGTGAGTACAAGTGTATATATATTCTGTGTATAATATGTACATATGTATTTACAAAAAAAATCTCAGGACAATTTACGTAGCGCCATTTAGACCCAAGTTAAGCTAGCTAAAGCTTGTGTTATGTGTACTAGATAACTGATATAAATACATAATTTTTTTTTCGTAAATACATACATGTACATAGAAAACGACCAGATTGATACAAACAATCATACTCATGAATATAAATGTTTGTGCCGTGCGAGGAATCGAACCGGCGACCATCGGAAGTAAGGCGGTGTGCTATACCGCTAGACTACCGCAGCCATCTGTGGATTAAAAAATAAGAATTTAAAAAGAATACGCACGAAGTGTGATTGCTAAAAATTATAAAATGCTGTCACTCACTATAGTGGATGCTGGTTAAATCTCGCTCGCTGTTGAAAGACCGTGTCGTGTAACTATTGTCGGACAAGTATTATTGTATAATCGAGTGAAAGACCGTATCGTGTATCTATTGGGGGACATGTATTATCGTGTAATCGAGTGAAAGATCGTGTCATGTAACTATTGGGGGACATGTATTATCGTGTAATCGAGTGAAAGATCGTGTCATGTAACTATTGGGGGACATGTATTATCGTGTAATCGAGTGAAAGATCGTGTCATGTAACTATTGGGAGACATGTATTATGGTGTAATCGAGTGAAAGATCGTGTCATGTAACTATTGGGAGACATGTATTATCGTGTAATCGAGTGAAAGACCGTGTCATGTAACTATTGGGGGACATGTATTATCGTGTAATCGAGTGAAAGACCGTGTCATGTAACTATTGGGGGACATGTATTATCGTGTAATCGAGTGAAAGATCGTGTCATGTAACTATTGGGAGACATGTATTATCGTGTAATCGAGTGAAAGACCGTGTCATGTAACTATTGGGAGACATGTATTATGGTGTAATCGAGTGAAAGACCGTGTCATGTAACTATTGGGGGACATGTATTATCGTGTAATCGAGTGAAAGATCGTGTCATGTAACTATTGGGAGACATGTATTATCGTGTAATCGAGTGAAAGATCGTGTCATGTAACTATTGGGAGACATGTATTATGGTGTAATCGAGTGAAAGATCGTGTCATGTAACTATTGGGAGACATGTATTATGGTGTAATGGAGTGAAAGACCGTATCATGTAACTATTGGGGGACATGTATTATCGTGTAATCGAGTGAAAGATCGTGTCATGTAACTATTGGGAGACATGTATTATCGTGTAATCGAGTGAAAGATCGTGTCATGTAACTATTGGGAGACATGTATTATCGTGTAATCGAGTGAAAGACCGTGTCATGTAACTATTGGGGGACATGTATTATCGTGTAATCGAGTGAAAGACCGTGTCATGTAACTATTGGGGGACATGTATTATCGTGTAATCGAGTGAAAGACCGTGTCGTGTAACTATTGGGGGACACGACACTGCCTACACGACAATGCCTTTACATTATTTGTCCCCCAATGTAAAGGCATTGTCGTGTAAACTGTGTGGTGGTGGCGCAGGCAGCACGAGCGGGCGCGTGCAGGCGGAGTGCACTGTGGCGCTGCTGGAGAGCGCGCGGTGCAGTGCGCGGGGCCACGTGGCCGCCGGGGACGTCCACTGCCTGCTGGCCGGCCTGCAGGACCCGCTACAGGTACCCGCGCCTACCGCCTCTACACTACCTACCTAGCGTACCATGCACCCGGAAATTATTCATTCATTCATGCATAATTTAAGAGCTACGCTCTCGTCGGTGGAGCTCTTGCCACTTTCCGCGATCTTCCATCATGCTCTTTAATTCTTGGAAATAATACTATATATAAAATTCTCGTGTCACAGTTTTCGTTCCCATACTCCTCCGAAACGGCTCGACGGATTCTCATGAAATTTTGTGAGCGTATTGAGTAGGCCAGAGAATCGGCCGACATCTATTTTTCATCTAAATGTTAGGGATAGTCCATCCCTAAATTTTATTTTTTTATTTTTTAGTTTCTATTTTTTTATGATACAACATACAAAAATACATACAATCCTAAATTTTCACCCTTCTATCATCAACCCCTATTTTTTTATAGCGTTATTAATTTATATGGCAATACAACGTTTGCCGGGACAGCTAGTATTATTATAATAATTTATTGTTAAAAATTTGGATACAGTATTAAATGTCTAGCCAGCTGCTGCCAAGAATGTTAGAGATTTCGGAAAAAAGACCCTAACTACATTTATTTAACTACTAGATATATCCTGCGGTGTCTCTTGTACGTAATATAGTTCGATGTTTTTACGCTAGATGACGCTACCTGTACTTTTTTTTAATTCAGTTTCCTAAGCTTAGTGGTGTTTCATTTTATAAAACAATAGCGCAATTGCAATGAAAAATATTGCAAAAACACAAAAAATGATGGTGCAGACGCAGTACTGCAAAAATACTTATGAATATATTAAAAAAAAAATATCAGGTGGTTCGTGATGCGGCTCTGCGCGCCCTGCTGTGGGTGGTGGACTGCCTACCGCCGTTGCTGGAGCACCCCCACAACGCCACCAATCTCACCAAACGGCTACTGATAGCCACCTTCGATGTATCAGAAGATAACAAGTAAGTAATACATACTTTGACGGCCTCGATGTTCTAACAGTTTAGCACAGTGCTCTACTTCCGGTGGTCGCAGGTTCTATATCTCGCATGGTATACTCATTTGTATTGATGAGTATGGACTGTACAAATCTGGGTGCCTTTTATTCTATTATTTATTTATTCTTTTGCACACAAAAATGTATACATGGCGTACTTAATGCCTGATGGCATTCTCTACCAGTCAACCGTCGCGTTGATCAGAGATAATAAGACGGTGCACTTTAATAATTAATTAAAAGAAAAATAAATAAAAATTATAACAAATAGATACAGAAAAATAATACATATATATACATATACAAATATGTAAAAATATTATCCTCTTCTTATCTATCTACCAGTATAACACAAGTTCTGTTTAGCTTAATTAGATCAAACTGTTTGGCGGTTGAAATAGAAAGTGTCTAGGCAGATCATTTATAAAATCTATACTGGTAAATACTAAATATAATGATAAATCTATACTGCGTCAACATAGATAAAATACTGAAACGATAACCTACTTGCTGTAACTTTGTAACCTAGCTGGGAACCAGTGGAATATCAGAGGACGGAATGGAATATCAGGTTATTTAGCTCATGTGACAAAATCACCAGGAGTTATCCAGAATCCGCTCGGGCGTCGACCCATGTAACCATTACACTAGATAGATAATTTATTTGTAACGTAAACATAGATAAATTGCTGGAACGTGACCTGTCTGCTGAAACTTTATGTTCTATAAACACCAATGGATCAGAGGACGAAGTTAGGTACTATTTTTTTTTATTGGGGGTATTGGGCTATTGTCACTGCGACCTGCATAGATCTATTGTCCTTGCTATTTTTCAAAATTCGCTACCAAGATCCGTGAGGGACAAGTATTGAAGGATAGGTTAGGTACTAACTTGGCTTCGTCCTCTTGACCTGGTGAATTTATCACCCAGATCTAGCTATAACTCAGGGTGATAAATACATCAAGAGACCACAGTAGGGGTGAGCGTCTACCCCAAATGGTATATTGCAATCCCCTTCTCCCCGCGGCAGGAAGTTGGCGTGCGAGCTGTGGTCGAAAGTGCCACTGGCTCAGGAGTGGAGCCGCGAGGAGGCGGTGCTGGAGCTGGTGCTGGCCGACGTGGAGCACCCCGCCGAGCAGCTGCAGCGGGCCGCCGCCGCCGCGCTCGCTGACCTGCTGCAGCGACACCACCCCGCCGCCGGGCCGCGCGTGCTGCGCCGCCTGCAGGACGTCTACCTCGACAACCTGCCCGTGAGTGTCTCGTGTGCCAGGGGAGCACCACCCCCCGCCTGCAGGACGTCTACCTCGACAACCTGCCCGTGAGTGTCTCGTGTGCCAGGGGAGCACCACCCCCCGCCTGCAGGACGCCTACCTCGACAACCTGCCCGTGAGTGTCTCGTGTGCCCCGGAAATTATTCATTCATTCCTGCCCGTGAGTGTCTCTGTGTGCCAGGGGAGACCACCCCCGCCTACCTCGACAACCTGCCCGTGAGTGTCTCGTGTGCCAGGGGAGCACCACCCCCCGCCTGCAGGACGTCTACCTCGACAACCTGCCCGTGAGTGTCTCGTGTGCCAGGGGAGCACCACCCCCCGCCTGCAGGACGTCTACCTCGACAACCTGCCCGTGAGTGTCTCGTGTGCCAATACCCCCCGCCTGCAGGACGCCTACCTCGACAACCTGCCCGTGAGTGTCTCGTGTGCCAGGGGAGCACCACCCCCGCCTGCAGACGCCTACCTCGACAATTTGCCCGTGAGTGTCTCGTGTGCCAGGGAGCACCACCCCCCGCCTGCAGGACGCCTACCTCGACATCTATTTTGTCTCGTGTGCCAGGGGCAGTCCACCCCCCGCCTGCAATTGACGCCTTCGACAACCTTTGAGTGTCTCGTTTTTATAATAACATATAAAAGGACGCCTACCTCGACAACCTGCCCGTGAGTGTCTCGTGTGCCAGGGGAGCACCACCCCCGCCTGCAGGACGCCTACCTTACAACCTGCCCGTGATTTCTCGTGTGCCATACAACCCCCGCCTGCAGGACGCCTACCTCGACAATTGCCCGTGAGTGTCTCGTGTGCCAAGCACCACCCCCCGCCTGCAGGACGACTACCTCGACAACCTGCCCGTGAGTGTCTCGTGTGACAGGGGAGCACCACCCCCGCCTGCAGGACGACTACCTCGACAACCTGCCCGTGAGTGTCTCGTGTGCCAGGGGAGCACCACCCCCGCCTGCAGATACCTATCCTGCCCGTGAGTGTCTCGTGTGCCAGTAATACCCCCGCCTGCGGACGCCTACCTCGACAACCTGCCCGTGAGTGTCTCGTGTGCCAAGCAGCCTGCAGGACGCCTACCTCGACAGTGCCCGTGTTCTCGTGTGCCAAAACAATACCCCCGCGCAGGACGCCTACCTCGACAACCTGCCCGTGAGTGTCTCGTGTGCCAGGGGAGCACCACACCCCGCCTGCAGCACGACTACCTCGACAACCTGCCCGTGAGTGTCTCGTGTGCCAAGCACCAAACGCCTATCACAACCTGCCCGTGGTTCTCGTGTGCCAGGGGAGCACCACCCCCCGCCTGCGGACGCTACCTCGACAACCTGCCCGTGAGTGTCTCGTGTGCCAGCCACCACCCCCGCCTGCAGGACGCCTACCCGACAACCTGCCCGTGAGTGTCTCGTGTGCCAGGGGAGCACCCCCACCCGCCAGGACGCCTACCTCGACAACCTGCCCGTGAGTGTCTCGTGTGCCAGGGGAGCACCACCCCCCGCCTGCAGGACGCCTACCTCGACAACCTGCCCGTGAGTGTCTCGTGTGCCAGGGGAGCACCACCCCCCGCCTGCAGGACGTCTACCTCGACAACCTGCCCGTGAGTGTCTCGTGTGCCAGGGGAGCACCACCCCCCGCCTGCAGGACGTCTACCTCGACAACCTGCCCGTGAGTGTCTCGTGTGCCAGGGGGCACCACCCCCCGCCTGCATGACGTCTACCTCGACAACCTGCCCGTGAGTGTCTCGTGTGCCATTCAGCGCCGATTATTGCACAGTAACTTTGACTCATTTTCATCTCATAAATCTATAACTTCTGTATTAATAAAGATATGTACATGATTTTTTTCCTGATAATCTTAAATATATATACTTTTAAATAATGTATGCTTTGTGAGTAAAAAAATATTTCTAATTGTTATAAATAATGTAGGAATACAAGAAATATAGAATTTGTAGACTTACATTTATGTCCTAAAAGTTTATACAGAAATAAGTAAAAGTATCTATATATATACAAAAATTCTTATAAAGATGGCTTACAAGTCACTCAAGAGCTCCTTTGCTTCATCAAAAAGTGCTAAATATTATTAATTTGAAGGTTTTCTTAAACTTGTTATGTATGGGTCAGAGGTATATAAAAATGCGTGTAGAACATCTTTGTTAGAGGCTACCCTCGAACATTGTCTTGCATGATGAAGCTTGAACTGTTTATAGTCTTTGTTCCGTAACTCTTGAGCATCTTCTGAAACTTGCCCGAGAGGCAAGACAGAAAATGACGTGTCACACGTTCACATTTCATTTCATAACATAACAGTTTTATTAATTCCTCATATATACCAGTGATATTTAATACTGATAATTTTGGAAAAATCTTCTGGCTGTATTGCCGTCATTAGTGTTGCTATCAAACAACTCCTCATATTTTTATACTGTGCCTTGTTCAGATCCAATTTTATGAACATGCTAAGAGCTTAATGTTTTGAATATGCTGCTATATGTGCCGGTTCATTAATAACATTGCTCATTAAGATTGCTCATTTCATTCTAGTTTTCTGCCGGCAATGCTCGTAAAATATCAACGATGAAACCCTTAAACCCTGTACATATTATGAGTTCAGTATGAAGTCCACAGGTATCAAGCAATCCCTTGTTTTTCCGTTTCTTTGTCCGAACTGTCTTCGTACGTTTTAGAAGGTCTTCCTCTTTTCTCTGTCGAAGTAGGAGGTGTATCATGTAGTTTTTTCTAGATTTACAGTGAAAATACCATCCTATCAATTGCTATTTTATTTAAAAACTGTTCTTTCTTTCGACCACATTTCGTATAGCGTTGACGAAACTGAGTTATGAAGGACTTCTAAATACTTGCGATAATTTTTGCTATAGTGGCATCTGAAGATTCGGTAAAATTATTTCGTATATAGTTTGAGATAGAATCAACATAATTTGAAGGAAATCAATAAGAGACTTAAGTCGCCTCTGGTACACGAGAATTCACTCATTGGGGCGAGATGAGTAATTAACAATTTTTAGTAATGACAAATGCTTATAAGAACTGTAATATTTCATATGCAAATACATACACTATTTTATGCTTGATAATGATCATATACGTGTGCAAAATTACTTGATAAAAAATATTTATCATTATGCGGTATAGAATAGGTCTGTATGGGCATGGGAACTATATACTGTGTGAAATAGTTGATAAAAGTAAGCCAATAGATAAAATATAAAGTAATAATTGAGCAAAAAGTATTTTTTTGAGTATTCAGACAGAGAATCTCAAATAAAGAAGAAAATCTTAATATACGTATTTATAAAAAACAAATCTCACCATGATATTATACTCGATTTAAATATTTTACGCAGTGAAACTGCAAAAAAAAATGTTATGCCATCAAATTAAATTATATTTCCTAATAAATAAAACCAAATTTAGAACTTCGCAAGCTTCGGCAACTGTCAAATCTCCGCCGTGAAAGTCGCGAAAAGAAAATAGTACATATAACGATATATGGATTTTTAGTTAAATAATATTCGACTAAACTAAATATATTTTTATATTATGTAAAGTACACATTCCCCCCGGATTCTAAAATGGTATCACACTATATGACTTGATATTGTTTTGATACTATAAACTTATACTAAACAAATTTAAGTTACAAAATTATTTTTGTATTTTTTTCATTCCTTGACTTTAGAGGCTCTATTCTATGAAGTATGAATAGTCAGAGATTTGAATCATATTTATAATGATAGAGTAACTCTTTGGCTACAAGTTGACGTATTATACATCGACAACATCCCGGAGTTTTAGAAAAAGTATTTATGAGATGGCTTTCTTACCGAGTTCCCACTGTGCCGCTGCATCGACACCATCCCGTCACCAGCTTTCAATACCTGCCTTTACACGTATGAAAGACTGCATCACGCAGGAAAGACTGTGTATAACTATAAACAAAAAGAAGGAGAACGACGCGCCTGCGCAGCCAACACGCTCATTCCCGTGTTTTCAATCGTGCGTCCTTTAGCGCCTTTTTGTATTAAATAATTATCATTAAAATATTGCAGACTGACTTTGGACCGAAGACATAATCATAGAGTTATTGATAAAATGATATTTTTATAAAATAGTATCTGTGGAATATAAAATATGTTTTTTAAAGAAAGTGAAATGACATGTGCTAAATATCTTTTCATTATATCACACTTCTCTTTTTCTCTTCTTTTCCTCTCATTTTTCACGCTCTTATCTTCTTAAACTTCGCCTTCTTGCTAATTTTTCACTCCTAATTATTTTTTTGTCGTCCATTGAAAACCATACGCTAAATCCACAGCAGTGCGTTTAGTTTACATTTCAATTTTCGCATCCTCTCGTCGAAACCTCGGAGTCGGAACCTAGATTAACTACTACACTGAAATTAAATATATGTTATCTGGAGAGGTACTATTGGAAGGACAATTAACACTTGGTTAACATAAATACTAAAGGGTAGGCGCAGATCTAAGTAGAACGCAGTCTTAAAAATAGCCCAAAACCCTAAATAAAAAAAAATCAACTTGTCTGACACAATAGCTTCTCATATTTTGGTAATAACGTGAACAATTGCGCACTTACGCTTCATTACCACCTTATCATGTTGCCTAAGGACTTCTAGGTCAGTGAATTCAGTTATCTCATGAATACGGATGTGTCGATTAATCCGATTACTTAAAGCAATTAAAACTGTCTACGCAATTCACAGTTTATCTGTTCGGTATGTCCAGACATATGATGATAGTGTACGTACATTTACTCGATTTGACGAAATAATCTATTCTATATTCAAATAAATTCAATAAGAAAATTTTAATAGTAATTTTGTAATCTTAACGTGAGAAAAAATATTCACAAGTCTTGTAAAACATTTCCTTTGTAAAAAAGCTTTTTATTTAGTATAAGAAATGAATATTGTAATACATGTAATAAATATTAGGTACATTGGTAAATGCCCAGTACTATTTTGCTTATTCTGGCAAGTAGAATCTGTATAGAATGACTACGTAAAAAAGCTTATTATAAAATTGAAGAATATATAAATGATAATAATGTTTTTGTAGAAAATATCTAACTTAAAATTCATAGCGCTGACAATGTTATCTCATTTAACAAAGATTGCGTATTTAACATAGTGCGTAGCGGTTTTTATATTGATTGTCGCATGCCTAATCCTTGTTAATGTAAATCTACTTAAAACAACATTTATTTAAAAGAGTAACACACACGTTTCTTGCTCATTCTTCATGTGATGAATCTGCGTCCGAATGAGTGGTAGAATAAAAAGAAATGTGACTATTCAAAAGTACTTTATTAAATATTAAGTTTATTTGAATAATGATTATTTCTAATTTCTAATAATAATAATAATAATCTCAGGACAATTCACACAGCGCCATCTAGACCCAAGTTAAGCTAGCTAAAGCTTGTGTTATGGGTACTAGATAACTGATACATATACATAGAGTTTTTTTGTAAATACATATATATTATACATCTAATTTCTAATACTTCTAATAATCACACTAAAACACCGAACGGACACCTTTGTAAGCCATAAAACCACCTACCACTTGGTCTTTTGCCTCTACCCAAAGGTTGTTTCAGAGACTTTTCATACCTCTGTGACATGTTAAGTATAATACTCGTATTATTGTTTCAACATATACGAGATTTATTTGAAACGGTTTATTAATCCGCTAGCGCTGTAACATATTACTAATATGTAATTAATCCCGCATAATGTTGAATCGGCAACCCTATTAAATGGTATTCAAACGACATTCTTCATCTATACATATAAATAAAATTGGAGTGTCTGTTTGTAATATTGAAATAACCGTTTTTTACTACATGCATATGAATATAAATACGGTACATAAACCAAAATATCATTTTTTACTATTTTTGTCTGTCTGTCTGTTTGTTCCGGCTAATCTCTGAAATGGCTGGACCGATTTTGACGGGACTTTTTTTGGCAGGTAGCTGATGGAATAAGGTGTAACTTAGGCTCCTTTTATTTTAGAAAAATAAAGTTAAATTCCACGCGGACGAAGTCGCGGGAACGGCTAGTTAGTTAATGAAAAAAGAGAAATTCCTATTTCCATATATAAAAACGATCAAGCTATTTCATGTTTTCCTATGATAGGGCTGATGACAGTTGATATCAGGGCTGTGTCTTTTTTTGTATTTTTATACAAGACTTTCAACTCATTTCATAAGTGGTGTTGCGCGCAAATGATTCCGGCATGACAGGACCAGTAGCTCCTTGCGGCTCAGTTTACTCTTTCCGACTCTATGTAGCATATCCCTAGTTTTTTATAAAGCGTACTATTGCTCGCAGCCGAACCCGGCTCGGAAGGACCAGTAGTATATCCTTGCGGCTCAGTTTACGCTTTCTGACTAACTCTTTACCTATTTATGACCCTGGTTTTTTTTATAATGCATGGTGTCGCGCGCAGATGATCCCGGCGCGACTGGACCAGTTCGGGCACGTGGTGGAGGCGGCGACGGACGCGTGGGGCTCGCGGCGCGGCGCGGCGCTGGCGCTGCGGGCGCTGGCGCCGCAGCTGGAGGCCGCGCACGTGGAGGACGCCATGCGATTCTTCGTGGAGCGCGCGCTCGCCGACCGCGACGAGCGCGTGCGCGCAGACATGCTGGACGCCGCCATGGCCATCGTGGACCTGCACGGCAAGGTACGCCACGCCCTCCGCCCCCACCACACCACACCACACCACACCACACCACACCTCTATAATCCACGGAGATGGTAATTAAGCATAGGCCCATCTGATGCTAAATGGTTGAAAGACCATGAGTGTCACATGCGCATTGTACATTATTTATGCTTCGATAAACGCACCGCCGGATTTGATACCTCGAACACTATAAACATTTGTATTCATAGGTTTTTTTTCGGACTACTCTAATGCTGTTGGCCGTAGCTGGCCTTTACAGCTTCACCGGGCGTTAGGGGCGAGTGCAGATGGCACTCAAACCCGCGGAAGGACTTATGGAGCGGCTGAAGGCCAACTCCTGCCTGACGGATACGACTTTGGTCTGAGGGCACCACAAGGGGTTCGAACCTCGGCTCAGGGCGTCGTAATTTCGATCCCCGTTTGAATTGGACGGGGGATCGATCGGAGGGGAACAGTATTCATAGGTATGAGTGTTTGTATTGGTCTGAGTATTTTCTATGTATATTGTGTACCATCATTTCATTGTTTTTTTTTTCTTCTATTATTTTTATTAAGGATGAGTTTAATTAAATTTTGGTAACATTAAGATTGTTAAGTGAATATGTCGCTGCACGCGATCGCGTTACCACTGGGCTGCTACTGGAAATCAGTGTATTGCTCGTTGAGTAAATTTTTCACTGAGTAGCTCAACCCTTTCGTATCCCTATGGCACCTAATGTAACAATGTATTTTAATGTTTTTTTTTATCTGTAAGTTAAAGTGTTGTGTTTTTTTATTATTATTATTATTATTTTTATCCAAAAATTCTCATCTCCCCTCTTAAGGAGAGGAGATGGCAACGGTTCAGGGCCCCGGTTATTATTATTATTAACAGGTTATTATTATTATTATTATTACGTGTTATTTTCTTACACTTGTGAATTTAATTTTGTTTCTACTCTCTTTGTTTGTGTTATCTGGATACGAATAAAGATTTTTATCTGTCTATCTATCTATGTATCCATCATCTCAGCCCGGAAGACATCCACTGAACAAAGGCCTCCCACAAATATTGTGTTTGTTTTTACAAAGATATTCGAGTATGTATATATTATTCATCAGTTGTCTAGTACTCATAACACAAGCTCTACTTAGCTCGGGACTAGATATTGTGACGGTGTATAAATTATCCAGAATTATTGTTATTAATAATAATAATTTATTTTACACATATTTTGTACACTTCTTTATGAAGTCCCCTTCTAAGTTAAATATAGAAAATACCTGCATTATAGGAATCAGTGTCTTCTTTTTTATTATTATTAGTATTACTATATATTAAAAAAACCTATCGATAATATAAATAGACTAGCTTTTCCACGCGACTTCGTCAGCGTGGAATTAAACCTTATTTTTCTAAAATAAAAGAATGTTTCTAAAATAAATGTAGCCTAAGTTACTACTTATTACATTAGCTACCTGCCAAAAAAAGTCCCGTCAAAACCGGCCCAGCCATTTCAGAGATTAGCTGGAACAAACAGACAGGTAGACAGACAGACAAAATTAAAAAAAAATGTTATTTCTGTGTATGTACATATAAATACTTTATATTCATATGCATATAGTAAAAAACGGTTATTTCAATATTACACACAGACACTTCAATTTTCTTTATATGTATAGATAAGTAAGTATTTATTCGATGAATCGTCACATGTAATCTCGACCCAGTCATAAATTCTCATTACAATATGTACTCGTTTAATCAATCAATAAATAACAGTAGGCATCAGGTATTATATGACAATATTGTGTAAATGTAATCCGTGATAACTCGGTGCTAATTTACGTCATTGCTAAATATGTAATAATAATAATAATGGCTTCTATTTCCTTAACCATCTAGAAGTTTGTACAAATAAAAAAAAAACAAAAAGCTATCGCTAAATATGTAACCTTGACAAAAACATGTATAAAAACAAATAAGCATAATATGCTGATGGTCACCCTATTCTCCCAAATTTGTATTTAAAAAGGAATCTGTATTATTGTAAACATATACAACCACTAGCTTTTGCCCGCGGCAATTTATCCCCTTAGGGGTGGAATTTATCAAAATCCTTTCTTAGGGGATGCCTATGACATAGTAGCTTTATGCATGCAAAGTCTCGGCCCGATCGGTTTGAAATTGACAAAGTTTCATACAAATTTTCATCCCCTATTTTATCCCCTTGGGGGTAGAATTAATCAAAATCCTTTCTTAACGGATGCCTACGTCATAACATCTACTTGCATGCCAAATTTCAGCCCGATCCGTCCAGTGGTTTGCGCTGTGCGTTGATAGATCACTATGTCAGTCACCTTTGAGTTATATATATTTAGATAGATAATTTATTTGCTTCAACATTTACAACAGTACAAATGTTCGCCTCATATTCAGGGGGCATGCAAAATATAGTTCTTAACATACATCTAGTACAGAATGAGTACATTTTTATCGAAAATACACATAAGAAAACATGCATATTGTTGTATTGTAATCTACCATTGATAATTAGTAATTATTATGTATTACTAATACTGAAATAATTTATTTACAAATATTTATCATTACCTATTCATTGAGTCATATTCTAAGTGTATTTTCAGTGCATTTGGTGTACTGGTTAAAATAATAACCTATTATTAAATACAAAAAAAGTGTATAAAATTTAATCAGATAACAAATAATACCGATTGTAATCGAAATAGTAAATTTTGTTAATGATACAGTTTATTAATAAACAATTTGACTCTTACAATGGGGTGAAAAAAACATATTACTAAAATTACGCCCTAGACTCAGTTCTGCTGCATATGCAATTAGAAGAATTAGGCAATTAACAGACGTGGCGACGGCTAAACTTCAATATTTTAGTTATTTCCATAGCATAATGTCTTATGGCATACTGCTGAGCCGAGGATATAAATACTATATTTGTTTTACAAAAGAGAGCCATACGTTCTATTTATGGTATGGGTTCAAGAGAGTCATTACGTCAGCTCCAAAGAATCCTATCCGCACCGTTACTTCCATCTGAAAATATTATGTATCGTCCGAAGAACTTAGAGAGTATAAAAAACTCAGCTGCGTAGAAACAGCGTTAGAGTAATCCGAAAAAAAAGGCACTGTTAGCATTGTAGAGGCTGGGGTTTTTTTATATAAATTTAATAGCAAGTAAAATATTTGATCACAAATTGTATACAGACAAATCAGAATTACAATAATACCATGTTCAGGCTACTAAAAAGTGGACTACCATTATTTAAGTATAACTGAATAGTAACGGTCGTTATGATTTAAAAATCTATAATTCGTTTCCATCATCGTTCATAAAAAAACACGCTGTATAGTTATAGAGCAGTGGTTCCTAAAATTGATTGCACCGGGATAAATTAACAAAAATTTGCTTCTCATCTCAAATAAACCGTCTGAAAGAGGGAAGCATAGATTATTGTAATTGCTGTCTGACATCGTGAACGTCTGCTTGTAGGATGGTCTGCTCTAATCACTATGACTGATTTCCATTATTAATTGTTTAACCAGTTGGTTATATTCAATATTTTCTTTTTGAGTATTTAATTGAATTAGTGCTAATTGGTGGTTTGTATTCACAATTCAAATTAAAATTCAAAAATCATTTATTCAAAAGAGCAGGACATTTCTTGCTCGTTCTTCTTGTGATGAACGTTTCCGAACGAGCGGTAGATTAAAAAAAAAATGTAATGACTATTCAAAAGTGCTTCAATGTAAGTTTATTTGAATAAATGATTTTCTATTCTATTCTATTCTATTCTATTGAATAATACTTTTTAAAAGTATTATGTTAATCAGATAACAAGTATATTTATATAGTACTTGTTTATGTACCAACATTAAATAAACAATTCAGCTGCACTGAAAAAACAACTATTACGCCATGCACTGCTCACTCCGTCATCCACCGTCCAATCGTCAATATTACGACGGCCTGAGTAATAGCGGTGCTCAGACTGATGTCGTATCAATCATGATTTAACAGATGTTTTGAATTTCCGGTTTAAAGGGTAATTCCAACATTAGAATAATCCGAGAAAAAAAGGCACTGTTAGCATTGTAGAGGGCTGAGGTTTTTTTATATAAATTTAATAGCAAGTAAAATATTTGATCACAAATTGTATACAGACAAATCAGAATTACAAATAATACCATGTTCAGTCTTTAAATCTACCATGTATTAATATAACTCAATAGTAACTGTTTTTGGAAGATATACCAATTATTACTATATATTACTACTAATATTAAAATATAACCGACAAGTACATGTTTAAACAAAAATCATATTCTATATGACAAACGTAATATAGTATATTATCTAGTTATAACGAAATGATATCGTATATTGTTATAAATACATTTCAGGACAGACCATTGAACTTGGCACCCATTTTCTCATCTCTTTTGTCGTAGAAGTCAACAATCAAGGCATATATCATAATATTAAACTCATATCATTTCACATTTATGTTTTTGATGGGATATCATTACTTTTTGTACATAAATTATACGACGTACTTATTTATAACTAAATTAATACCAAATTATTTTTGATAAATTTCATTTTCGTATATTTACCATAATTGTCTTTTTTTTGTGTTATTTTCTATATTTTCTTGTAACTTTTAAATATTCAAGTGTAATGCCAATTCAGTATCAGGAATTATATTATTTTAATCCACAATGGTACCACAATTGTGTAATAAATTGTTAAGACGTACATCTAAGGTTTAACTCTGGAGAGTCCAATAAACCTGAATTAAAATCTGTTGAGAAAATTGTTAATAAAATAAACAAAAATGAATCTGTAATTATTTTGTACAATACATTATTTAATATCTGAAACTTGGTATTGTACGTTATAGTTCGTTTTATTATAATAAATAAAAACTATATTAAAATATGCAATAATATTAAATTTGTTACAATAATCTCATTC